TTCTTAGTGATCAAGTAACTGAGAGCTAAGCCTCAGGAGGTTTGTCTTTCAAACCTACATAGTAATCTTCTCCATTTGCGAACCAATGTCTTTTTTAATGATATTTGATCTAAAAGAAAGGCTGGAGTCCCTAATGATTTCCATAAATATTGTTTCTTGAGGCATGAGAATGAATATATTGGTGCAGTTTCTGTTTCTTTTAGACCAAATGTGCCAAGAGAGGCTTCCAATTATGTTCCAACGTAGGCCCCATTGGAGGAGCTTGATGTGTTAGTTTTTGACATGCTTCTAATACATCTCCTATTCTGATATTTGATTGGGTGAGAGTTGGGGTTGGAGAGTTGGAAATTTTCCAGAGGGACTGGTTAAGTAAATCAGTGAGCTTTAGTAGTAGTTGCCTAGAGTATGAGCAGTTAAAAAACAGGTGACTAATATTTTCAACTTCTTTACCATAAAGGAGGCAGATTGGCTCGATTGGTACCCCTGGCATTAAGCATTGGTAGGGTCTTAATTTGTTTGTTTTTTAATCTCCAGAGGAAGATGGAGAATTTTGTAAGCATATGTGACCATATACCTTTGGCCAAGGTATCTTTAGAACCCTTAGTTCTTATTGCTTCTACTATTGTCCCTAGGTTTTGGTTCTCATTACCTATTTTCCAGATCGTTAAGTTTCATACCCTGCAATCTAGACATTGGCTAATGAGGGCTTCGGAGTCAATGATTTTTTCCATTGGGCCGAGTCAATGGTAGGTTTAATTATGATGTATCTATTTTGCATCCACCATGATAGGATGGAGTGTTTACCCTAGAATGTGGCTGTTTTTTTTATAGGTGGCAATTATATGTAGATTTCTAATACCTAGGCCTCCTCCATCTTTGGGCAGGAATATTTACAAATATGTACCTATGACTCATTAATAAAACCAGATAACCAATAAAACTTAATACCTAACTAACATAGATAGGGCTGGAGGGTATGCAAGATGGTTTCTAGCTGGAAAAGACATCTGGAGCTGGCTGATCGCACAGTTTCCGGAGGAAGGACAATGGCTTCTGGAAGGTTAAAAATATGTGTTTGGTTGTCCTCCTGGGAGGGATAAAATGGTCAAAAATTGCAATTTGAGATTTCTACTCATTGTAATATAACTTAAAAGTGCAAAACCTGTTCAGCATCTGAAGGTTCTGACCCACCACATGTGTATGAAAACCCATGTTTTTGTCAAGGCTGATGCATAAATGGTTGTCAAACTTTATAGATTAATCAAATCAAGTTTAAATTTTAAAATGCACCAGCGTGTGGAGTAGTGGGCACCTAGTTGCGCTCAATGTATGCCTAAAAGGCTAAAACACAACTTTTAATTTTAATTTAGTATACAGTATACTATTATACCTGTTTAAAAATATTAAACACGATGAAGTGTAACCTTAAACCTCTTAGTGTCTAAAGTATCTAGAAATTTAGAATACCTAGAGTAGTAATATCAGTTTTCCAGATTAGAAGATTGCCAATCTAGAAAAGAAGTTGCTTGGATTGGAACATTTGAATAGCACTACAGTAGTAGCAAGATCTTCATCAGAAAGAAACTAGGGTTTCTTTTAACCTGGCAATAAGAAAAATGGATGAATTTTCATTTGTTTTTTCTGATTTAATTTAAATTATCATGTAGGTACTACATGGATTAAATACTTTTTTTTGCTATGTAGGTCAGCCTATTATCCAGCAACTGATGTCGTGACTTTGAAATTTATGATTGAGACATGCTGGGCACCAATGCTGGCTGCATTCAGTGTTCCACTTGATCAGAGTGATGATGAAGTTGTAATTTCATTGTGTTTGGATGGATTCCGCCATGCAATCCATGTTACTGCAGTTATGGCCATGAAAACTCACAGAGATGCCTTTCTTACTTCACTAGCAAAATTTACGTCTCTCCACTCGGCTGCAGATATCAAACAGAAAAATATTGATGCAATTAAGGTATATTTAATCATGGCTATCACTTAACACTTTTGATAAAATTAGGCTGAGGAAAATAGTGTATTTGTCTGTGTTGATTTATGATTAACATCGTATCTGAATTGAACTATGACTTGAGACTGGCAGACTGCACATTCTTCCCATTAGCCATCAATATATGTTTTCTTTTTCATCAGCTACATAGTTCAATGAGCTCACTTTTTAGTAAATTTGTTCAGGTTTTCTTTCTTGACTTGTTAACACTGATCCTTTATGATGTACTTTTACCTATACTGCAAAAGTGCACATCTTATAGATACTCATTCTGACCTACTTGTCTTTGCATGTGATATTTTATTTTAGTGTAACATCAAACTTTTGAATCAGTTTATATTGTTCTCATATTGCAAACATATTGACTGTATTCTGCAGGCTATTATTACAATTGCAGATGAAGATGGAAATTATCTACAAGAAGCATGGGAGCATATCTTGACATGTGTATCTCGATTTGAACATTTGTATCTATTGGGGGAAGGTGCTCCTCCTGATGCTGCTTTCTTTGCGTCACCTCAAAATGATATAGATAAATCTAAACAAGTAAAGTCGACCATTCTTCCTATTCTTAAGAAAAAAGGATCTGGATGGGGTCAGCATCCTGTTACTACTGTCAGAAGGGGTTCGTATGACAGTGCTGGAGTTGGTGGACATGCTTCTGGGGTTGTTACAAGTGAACAAGTGAACAATTTAGTTTCCAACCTTAATATGTTGGAACAAGTTGGGCCTTCTGAAATGAATCGGATCTTTTCAAGAAGCCAGAAGTTGAATAGTGAGGGTGTGATTGATTTTGTCAGAGCACTCTGCAAGGTTTCCATTGAAGAATTGCGTTCAACATCTGACCCACGAGTTTTCAGTCTTACAAAGATTGTTGAGATTGCGTAAATAATTATTTGATTTCTCTATGCTATTTGTCTGATTTTTTTGTACAACGTATTTGATTATCTCCCCATGCAGGCACTACAACATGAACCGCATTAGGCTTGTCTGGTCAAGCATCTGGCATGTTCTTTCTGATTTCTTTGTTGCAATTGGATGTTCCGAAAACCTCTCAATTGCCATTTTTGCTATGGATTCCTTACGCCAGCTCTCCATGAAGTTCTTGGAGAGAGAAGAGCTTTCTAACTATAACTTCCAGAATGAGTTTATGAAACCTTTTGTCATTGTGATGCGCAAGAGCAGTGCTGTTGAAATCAGGGAGTTGATTATTAGATGTGTTTCTCAAATGGTCTTAACTCGTGTCAATCATGTTAAATCAGGATGGAAAGGCATGTTCATGGTATGTTTTCTTTTTCGGCATTTTCTATCTACTTTGAAATTTTCTCATAAAATTGCATCTTGAAACATGTTATTTTGTGCAGGTGTTTTCAACTGCGTCAAATGATGAACATAAAAATATTGTCATGTTGGCTTTTGAAATTATTGAGAAGATCGTAAGGGATTATTTCCCTTATATAACTGAGACTGATACCACAACCTTTACCGATTTTGTGAATTGCTTGATTGCATTCACCAATAGTAGGTTTAACAAAGACATCAGCCTCAATGCATTAGCTTTTCTTCGGTTTTGTGCTGTAAAGCTCGCAGAAGGAGAGGTTGGCAATATCAAAAACAATGATAAGGATGCTTTGGATAAAAATATTGAATCATCTCATACAGAAAGCAATGGAAAGAAGGAAATTCAACAATTTTCTGATAAAGACGATCATCTTTATTTTTGGTTCCCCTTGTTAGTAGGTATGTATACCATATATTATGTTTAGTTTTCCTCTTTTACTGTCAATTTTCTTTCTGAATACCGTTTGTTATTTTACAGGATTGTCAGAGCTTACTTTTGATCTAAGACCTGAAATAAGAAAAAGTGCCATGGAAATTCTTTTTGAAACGTTACGCAACCATGGTCATCTTTTTACTTTACCGCTATGGGAGCGTGTGTTTGACTCAGTTCTATTTCCTATTTTTGATTATGTTCGCCATGCTATTGATCCATCTGGAGAATCACTTGCACAAGGGCTTGAAAATGATGGCAGTGATGATCAGGATGCATGGCTTTATGAAACATGTACATTGGCTCTTCAATTAGTTGTGGATCTCTTTCTCAACTTTTATGGTACAGTCAGTCCATTACTACAAAAGGTGTTGCTGCTGCTGACCAGTTTCATCAAAAGACCACACCAAAGCCTTGCTGGCATCGGTATTGCTGCATATGTACGGTTAATGACCAATGCTGGATCTCTCTTTTCAGATGAAAAATGGGTGGAAGTAGTTTTCTCACTTAAAGATGCAGCTATCGCTACACTCCCAGATTTTTCTCATATTGAAGAATCATCAATAGAGCATGCAGACTCTGACACAGCGGATGAAGATCTGCAAAAGGAAAGATCAAGGCAGTTGTATTTTGCAATAGCTGATGCCAAGTGTCATGCTGCTGTTCAGCTATTATTGATTCAGGTTTGTAGTTTGTCGATTTCAATGTACTATTTTTTTTACTTATGTAGCAGCTAAAAGAAGTTTTGTTTTATTCTTCAAATTACCTTATTTAATATCCTATATGGTTGGCTATATATATGAATAAATTTATTTAAAAATAGTTTCCTTTAAACATAACCAAATATGTAGTGGGAATGTCTTCTGAGGTAGACAACACACCCATAGGCCTCCTAAGGTAGTCCTTAAGGAGATCATTAAGGACATCAGTCTCACCTTTGGACCGGAGTGTCACAAGAGGAGTTATTGTCACCCTTTGGAGACATCAACGATGGAAGTATGATAGACCATCCTCCTTAGGGTGTCAAACGAGCCGAGCTTTTGCTTATAGAGCCGGGCTCGGACTCGGCTCGTTAAGGAGTTATCCAGGCTCCGGCTCGTGCTTGAGCTCGTCGAGCCTGGTTTGGCCGAGCTCGGTCTCGGCTCGTTTTAAGAATTGCCATGCTCAGTCGGGCTCGAAGCTCGCGAGCCCGGGCTCGAATTAAAAGAAATAATTATTTGGAGACATGAGAGATCGAACCCGTGACCTTTTGCATGCTTAACAAACGTTTTACCATCTGTGCTACATCTCCATTCTCTCTAAATATAATATTATTTATACTTCTTATCGAGCCCATCGAGCTTAACGAGCCGAGCTTGGCATGTCCAAGCTCGAGCTCGGCTCGTTAAGCTAAACGAGCTTGAGGATTGGGCTCGGGATCGGCTCGCGAGCCCGAGCTTAAATGAGCCGAGCTCGCCGAGCCGAACTTTATTTGACACCATAATCCTCCTGAGGCAGCGTATCTCGTTACTAAGGTGTCAAGTAAAGTTCGACTCGATGGGCTCGGTAAGAAGTATAAAAAAAATATTATATTTAAAGAGAATGGAGATGTAGCACAGATGGTAAAAGGTTTGCTTAGCATGCGAGAAGTCACGGGTTCGATCCCCCATGTTTCCAAATTATTTATTTTAACCTGCAGGTTAAGTTCGAGCCCAGGCTCGTGGGCCTGGCAATTTTTAAAACGAGCCCGAGCTCGGCCAAACCAGGCTCGGCGAGCCCGAGCCTGGATAACTCCTTAACGAGCTGAGTCCGAACCTGGCTCTATAAGCAAAAGCTCGGCTCATTTGACACCCTACTCGTTACTATATAACTAGACTACATAGTTAATGAGAGAGTGTCAGTGGGCTTTTTGCTCATTTCTTTTTACCGCTATTTGTATTTGTATTGCCTTCATTTTCAATTGAAAAATTTAATTGTTTTCAAAAAAAATGTAGTGGGAATGGGAACAAGGTGTTTTACTTAATATTGTTTATTTATTTGTAATGGGATTTTTTAGAAGTGCAATGAAGCACTTGTAATTTTATTAACTTATAACAGAAAGAATACTAATTTCTATCAAATGTAGAATGGAAGAATTAACAAATTGTCTGTATGTACTATCAAATTTACAACCCTTGGCAAAAAACAAGAAATGATAGACATCACATTACCTTACTGAATTGAATTTAGTAATTGCCAATTAATACCATTGTAAAAATTAAGATAGTAGACATATATTTAGTTGCAGAGGCTTCCGGTTATCATTTTGCTCTGTAGCTATATTCTAGAGATCATATTTAGCTTCTCTATGTATTATTTTGTTTTCAAAGTTTAGGATAAAATATCATGTGAAGACTGAAGATCATATTTTAACAGATAGATATTTTGTTCTTAACATTTTTGAGAAAAATACTAAAATCTGAATAGATAAATAGAACAATGATAAATGGTAAAGGAGATTAGCTCAACTGACAGTAAGGTTTTTGTAGTCCAGGCTATGAACCTCACCGTGTGCTTACACACTTTTGATTTACTAGTGTTATTTTATATGGGCTATATATTGTCCATAGGTTTTTACTGTTCAATGAAAGGCTTTTTTTACTTTTTTTAAAGTAGTTTGATAACTTTGATCGATATGTTATTTATTAAACTTTGATTATTTATAAAAGTGGCGACGATAAAATATCAATGAATTTGTTTTATTTAAATTTTTCAGGCTGTGATGGTGATTTACAACACATTCAGATCGCAATTATCCATGAAAACTACAGTGTTGCTTTTTGAAACATTACATGTTGTTGCATCTCATGCCCACAAGATCAACAGTGATGGCAATCTAAGATCAAAGTTGCAGGAGATTGGGTCTATGACCCAGATGCAGGACCCTCCATTGCTTCGTCTTGAAAACGAATCTTACACAATATGTCTCACATTGTTACAGAATATCATTATAGATGAGACCATCACTGATGGGAATGTTGCAGATGTTGAGAGACATCTTGTTGATCTCTGCAATGAGGTTCTACAAGTGTATCTTGACACTGCAAAATCTGTAATGACTGATCCCATTTCTAGTGCTCAGTCCAATACACATTGGGTGATCCCGCTTGGTTCAGAAAAACGAAGAGAGTTAGCAGCCCGTGCACCAGTGACTGTCTCAACCTTACAAGCCATTTGTGGACTCAGTACTTCTTCCCTCCAAAAGAACCTGTCTCGGTTCTTTCCCATCTTATCAGGTTTAATAAGCTGTGAACATGGGTCCAATGAAGTTCAGATAGCACTTAGTGATATGCTTACCACTTGTGTTGGTCCAGTGTTGCTTCAATCCTTTTGACATCAAAGGCAAGATCTCCGGTGTAAATCAATTCCTTTAGTCAAATATATTGTCTGCTTTGTTTTCTATAATTTTCTAAAGTAAACTCTCATTTAGAGTATGTATATTATGAGTCAGTCTGTAGTACTAGTAGTGAGTGCTAGCAATTTCATTGTTATAATAGCCATTCATTTTTCTTTTCTATCCCAAGTATTTAAGTTTGAAAATTAGGCTCACAAGGTTGCCCTCCTGTAGTCCTATACTTGATTTTTTACTTGTCCACTTATTTGATTTGATCATATACATGAATCCCTTCACTTACCACAATAAATAAAAAATGTAGGAAACTTTTGATTGATTGCATGTACTCAAAATTTAGAACTGTAAATGAAGTTGTAATACCATCTAGATTTCTAATTCTGTTGGGATTTATTTTAGTTTTAATTACTTTGTTAAGTGTTTGTTATTTCTAAATTTTTCTCTTTTTTCTGTATCGTGTTCTAAGTTGAAACGACACCATAAGATTCCCTGAAGGACATCAACATCTCTTTTAAATCCGAGGATTTCACGTCAGATTGTAATATTACTGTTCTGCTGAATCTTGTTTTTGCTTTTTGGACCAAACCATTACAAGGAAAAAACCCATTAACGACATTATCACCACCTGCAACCAGTTAAAAGAGAATCAATTATTACTATCTGTATTCTTAAGGGAGATTAAAAAAATCTGCTTACATATTAAGTCCTTAAACAAAAGACTAATACATGTACAAATCCTAGAAGCCAATGACCGTCTCATAATATATTAAGTGAATAGTTATAACTTACCGAAATTGCAGGAGGCACACCCACAAGTGGATCTTGGAAAAAGTTATTTGCTAGAGTAAGTGCAAGTAGACTGCTTTGCATTCCTGTGATAGAATAAAATAGGGAAAAAGTGAGATATCTCATTTTTGATATTTCAATTGAAGCTCGCCATAATAAAATACACGTAAATTTCAATATAAGAAGCACAATTTCTGCAAATTGTTACCTGTTTCGAAGGAAATTGTCCTTTGCAGGGCTTCCACTTTAGGTGTTCTTTTGAACACTTTGCCAGTAAGAAAATAACTAGCAATGAATGAAGATGCGTGAAATCCAAAAATCAGCAACGAAGCAGTTACACCAAAGGGAGATGTGATAGATTTCATATTTATAGCTAGTGGCGATCCAACACAGAGAGCAGTGACAAAAATTGAAAGTGGAGGCAACAATGGTTGGATGACAGCACAAATTCTTGGAACAAACCTAAGGGATTAAAACATCGATGTATTAGTTGAAACAGTCTAATTAACAACTGGTTGTTATATATGTGCAATATGGGTAAAGAAAAATAACAACTTGCCTCACTGCTACCTACCTATTCAAAAACAGACCAGCAACAATAGGAACAACAACAATCTGGACAATATTGGACATCATTCCAATGACATCAACAGGAAGCCTCTTACCTATGAGCAATAAAGACAACGTTGGTGTCACCAAAACTGCTGTTGCAGTTGAGAGTGATGTCATAACAATGCTTAGAGGAGCCAATTCTAGGTCGGTCAGAAAAGTTGCATAGTTTGAAAGTTGTGCTCCGCTAACACATGCGGTTAACATAATTCCAGCACCTGCAAACAACATGGTGTATATACCAAGTAATATAAAACATCAGCTGGATTGCTGGAAGATGAACTTTTTTATTACCATCTATATCCCAGAGACGTGCAATTTGTTTACCTATAGAGTTGGGAAGATGGAAGGCTATTACAGCAACACTTCCAAATATATAACCAAGAAGAGGCTTTATGATAAACTGACATACATATCCAGTAGAAATCACTTGTGGTCTTTTTACTGCTTGTAAAAAATCACTGGGACTCGAATTAACTCCAACTGCAAACATCAAGAAACCCAGAGCCGGAGCATAATACCTGATAAGTGGAAAAAAAAAGAATGCAGCATTTTGGTTTTATTGAAAGATGAGTCAAATTAAACAAAAACATAAGCAGCATGAATGAAGCATTGAAGATTCGTCGAGTTTGTTTTGAGACGTCAAATTACCTGGTTGTGAACCAAGTGAAAGAGGGAGGATATGCAAGAGCCAGAACAGTGCTTCCCAACACTACATGAGGAAGTACAGAATTTGCCGATCTGAGCATCTTCATCAAAGCATCATATCCCTATAACTAATAACTTGTTATTGATCTTAAATCTTAATCACATATTCTTCTCGATACATGACAACACATATCTGGGAAAATATATATATATATCTTTATCAACGAATTCCACGGGGTTATCAGTTATGTACACTCTACACAATATGGCATCTGATTTGATTCTAGCACTGAATGTATATAGAATATTTAAAAAAACACGTCAAAATAATATATTCGCTGGTTGTAGTTAACTAGTTACTAGTTACAGATTCTCCCCAAATCAACATCTGCGCGTGTTATTTAGATTATCTTCATATAAACAATAAAATTTCAGGCAGAAACTCACCTGCGCCGGCACTAATTCGTCATCTCGAGGCACTATCTTTGCCGACAATCCCTTTGCAAAAAGTGAATTCACATCCCTACTCTTCCACTCTGCATCATCACATGCAAGAGGTGAAGTAACTAACGATCGTACATAATAACAATGTTGCAATATCAATGGAGGATTCTGAAATCCAAAACCGAAGGAACAAAACAAAGATCACAACACTCACCAGTGAGCAATGGGGTGGGAGTGAACAGAATTCTCGGCGATCGGCGGAGATCGGGAAGGCGGTATTTTCGTGAAAAGTTAGGCGTAAAACGCGTCGAATTGCAGCGGAGAGAGGTGGAGATGGTCAGATTCGACATCATGTCTTGATCTTGTGGTTGTTGCTGACTGCTGTTCAAAATTAGTAGTTACTAAATAAATTTTATGTTTTTGCAAAAACACCT